AAACATTCTCAGCAGCCGTGAGTCAGTCAAATGGAAGTTAATGTGTTTTGAAGAACACATCACAGGTGAGAGAAGTGGGCATCAGAGTCAGACAGAGCAGCAGTTAGCAGGAGGCGGCCAGTATGAGAGAAGACCAGCCACAATATGGAAGCAATCGAATGCTAAGGGTAAGTCCTGCCAAGTCAATGGTGAAAGCCATGAAAAAGCCAGCAGAAGTCGAAGATGGAGCCCATGGTGGCAGAAGGCCCCTTGGAAGGAATCTGTCACTAGCACAGACAATACATTGCCAGTCGAGCAGGGGGTGGCTCAATGGAAAACATCTAAATCAGGTCATGCCAGCCCACTGGCAGCAAAGCAAGCCAGTCAATGGGGTAGTCACAGAGGATCCAAACACAGAATCAGTACATCCAGAGGAACACGAGATGGGCAATATCTGCAGCATGGGTTTAACTGAAGCTCACCAACTGGCAAGGGCAATGCATTTGAGTAGAACAGGGGAGAAGAGGATGGAAGCCAAGAGAAGTGATTTGAACTGTGCCAAGTGAGCAGAATGGTCTCTGAGGAAATATCAGCTTCCTACCAACTAAGAGGCTTCTGGCATTGTGAGAGCTGCACACACACTGCCAAGTGTGGCAGGGCAAGGATCATGGCAGCAGGCATGTAGGATGCACAGAGGTAACAGCTAAGCTACTTCAGTGAGCGCCAACATCCTCCACTGGCACCTTGCAGCCCAATATCCAAGCACAGCCTGAAAAACTGGAAGTGCACTGATGAGGAGGCAGAAGTTGAAGTTTAAACTCTAGTTCTGCACTAACCATACCTCCTTTTATTAAAAGTCTGCCTTGGTTTTGATAGTACCTTCCTTCTCATCACCCAGAAACTGCAGGTCTCCCTCTTTAAACCAAATTCCAGCCCTGACCTGAGACTGGAGGTAATCTAAATGCTGACAGTCGTCCTCATTGCCAGTATCACACTCCGTATTTCCTGGTTGGATAAGCGTCTAAGTAAATGCTGGTTTTGACTTCATCCAGGCATGCTTACCCATCTACTTTTCAGTCTATGTTCTCACATACTGTGTCTGAAAACCTGGACTAGGCCAGGTGCAGTGGCTCACACCTGTAGTTTTAGCACTTTGGGAGGCCAAGGCAGGTGGATCACCTGAAGTCAGGAGTTCGAGACCAGCCTGGCCAACATGGTGAAACCTCATCTCTACTAAAAATACAAAAAATTAGCCGGGCATGGTGGCATGTGCTTGTAATCCCAGATACTCAGGAGGCTGAGGCAGGAGAATTGCTTGAACCCAGGGGGTGGAGGTGGCAGTGAGCCAAGATTGCACCACTGTACTCCAGCGTGGGTGACAGAGCAAGACTCCATATCAAAGAAATAATATAATATAATATATAAAATGAAAGCCTGGACTACTTTTCATCACCTGCAGCCAGAACATCCTTTCCCAGAACTTACATCACTTTTGTGAGCACAAGAAGCTCTTGGTTGTGGTTATTCCAATCTGGTCCATTTATTGAATGAAAGCTATTTGTGCCATAGGCAAAGATACAGCTGCTTTCAAATTCTCCACTCAAACTTCCTACCAGGAAGCCTAAGACTAAAACTGACCATAAGCAAACTAATAGTCGGAAAAGTAAAATTGTTTACCATTATCTGGGCACATTATAGTTTCAAATGTCCATTTGCCCTTTTGAGGCCAAATGCTATCAGGACAGAGGTCACCTTTTCCTTTAAATTCGTCATAACATAAGAAATGCTCATAATAAAATGATTATCCTTAGTGTACTCACAGAAAAGGTGAAACTACTCTCGATGAATAGTTATATGTGATAACCTAAGAAAGAACTTTCTAGAGTAACCACAAGCTCACTCCTACAGCCACTACAGGAAACATCTCCTATAATTCTCCCGAGGCAACCTCTTCTCGTCTCTCCTCTCCCTTTCTTTCCTCTTCCCTCTTTTTTTCTCATTCTCTTTTTCTCTCTTTCCATATACAAAGTACTCTGTTCATATGCCTCATACATTGTGTTTCATTCAAGATTGTAGCTGGAGAAGGAATTATTTTTGTATTCAGTGACTGCGTATGTCCCCTCTGCTTCATCTGTCAATATTGACAGAACATTAGAGCTAGAGGCTGTATAGGTCTTTGGCAGAGCAATTCTCTGAAGAACCTAGGGAAATTCTAGAATAAAAATGAAATACAAAGTGGCCAAATTTACAAACAGATACCCAGGTGGGAACATTGTTTGTGAAATCTTAACATTCAATTAATCCAAACTAGTGAAGGCTGTCCTAATGTCATGCAAAATTATTGGATCAGTGTATTACAATTTCTTTTATGTGCCATGATTAGATAGATAAGCTACTCTGAATCAGAACAACCACAATTTAAACATTATCTGGCAGGGCAACCGTCACATGTACAAATTTCAGATGTCAAGAACGAAAGAGAGAAGTGCCACAGTGACTACAGAAATTGATCGCGAGGAGATCAGAAGACTGCAACCTAGAACACCAAAGACACCTGATGACACTTTTCGTCTTTCATCCTCCACACTGGTTAGCTCCTACAAGCTGACAAAACAATTATTTATGAGACAGAGCTTCAGGTTAGTATTCTTAAGTTCTGCCCTGACATCTCTAAGAACTTATATAACATGAATTACTATTGAGCTTGCTTCACGATAGTGCTAATAGCAAGCTACAAACCATGAGGCAGGATACTGAGTTTCTAAAATATTTAAGATTCATATGAATACTTTCCATTACTAATATTATTGTATTAGTCTGTTCTCATGCTGTTAACAAAGACACATCTGAGACTGGGTAGCTTATAAAGGAAAGAGGTTTAATGGACTCACAGTTCTACCTGGCTGCGGAAGCTTCAAAATCATGGAAGAAAGCAAAGAGGAAGCAAAGGCATGTTTTACATGGCAGCAGGTAAGAGAGCTTGTGCAGGGGAACTCCCAATTATAAAACCATCAGATCTTATGAGACTTATTCACTACGATGAGAACAATTTGGGGGAACTTCTCCCATGATTTGGTTGTCTCCATCTGGTCCTGCCCTTGGCATGTGGGGATTATTACAATTCAAGGTGATATTTTGGTGGGGACACCGCCAAACATAACAAGCATGCATACTAAAATGCCATTATTCTCTAACCCATCCTTGTGATTTCCCAAAACCATGTCATAACTAACCCCTTATTCTAAGACCAGGCAGAGTTCTGCTCCTGCTCTGACTTTATTTCTAATACCAACTCATCCCAGCTCTATCTTAGCAAGTATCTGTCTAGCCAGCATCAGACAAATAATAATGACAATAATTGCTTGACTATTGGGCTGTCCAGCACAAAATTTGAGGTCAGAGTATCAGGAAACCCCAGGATTTGTCTTCTCTTCCGTACTGACTTGCAAGAGTCAAAATTGCATAGTGTAACTCTGGCTGTTGAGAATATTTGGGAAGGGACAGATGTTGATGTGGTTGAAAGAAAATGAGCGAAGAAGTAAAAGTACGCTGAAAGTAATTAATAGAAGGAAATAATATGAGCACCTGCTATGAAAAACTGAAATGTATATGATGTATTTACATACATGCATTTTAAGACAGTATTCTGCTTAAATTCTTTCATGACTTCCACCTCTAAAACATGAAGTCAATATTCTTTAAAATGGTTTTCTGATTAGACTTCCCATGATCTGGACCCAGCTATCTTCTCAGAGTTAACAGTTTTCTCACACCTCCCTCATACTTGAGCCCTACACCTGTCTGCTCTGGCCATGCTCATTTTCATATAGTTTCTCAAATATACTATGCTTTATTTTCTCTGGGCATTTCTCTCTGGAATATCTGTGCAAAGCTTCTCCTTCTATTGACTGCCTCCTATTCATGCTTTTTAGTTCTACTTAAAGGCCATTTACCTGATCTCCCTGTATACTGCAATATTTTCTATCTGCTCAGTACTCCCTTAGCAGTTCTCCATCATAGCATAGCACTAATAGCTGTTGTTAGGTCAATGCCTGTCCTCTTCTGGAGGATAAAGAAAAGATGATGTCTGTCTTATGGACCTCTGTGTCAGCCTGTTATTTTGCAATATTCTTATTAGAGAATACAGGAAGTCCTCCCATTCATGCTTCAAATGACTCAAAGAAAATACCCATTGCTTGTGATCATTAAAAATAATCTAGTTTGGAAAAGTAGGATTTGAGCCACCATGCCTATTGGAGCAGCTAGCAAGTTTGTGTTTATAGAACTTGATACAGACAGACCTGTTTTTGTCCATTTTTCTTGGGATTTGGGTAAAGGTTCTATATTGCTTGAACCTTTTGAAACTAAAGAAACTCTATACTCAGAAAGTTGAGAAACTGGTGCAGGAATAATCAGATTATTATTTAATCTTATCTTGAATACAGAATAAGAGGCACTTTGTTAAAAATACCCTTGTGATTGAATTCTGCTTCTCATTTCTGAATGTTTGTTCACTGTGATTAAAAATAACTAATTAATGACTTAGAGTGAGGGAGAGAAAAGGGTATTCCCCATTCTAACTAATTTCCTAAAACAGCCTAGTATCTAATGTAGTGTTTGGCACATAATAGGCTCAATAAACATTGGCTGATTGAATGAATGTTGAAATGTCATTGGAAAGTGTGTCATTCAGAATCAAAATTATCGCGCGGTGGCTCAAGCCTGTAATCCCAGCACTTTGGGAGGCCGAGGCGGGTGGATCACAAGGTCAAGAGATCAAGACCATCCTGGTCAACATGGTGAAACCCCGTCTCTACTAAAAATACAAAAAATTAGCTGGGCATGGTGGCGCGTGCCTGTAATCCCAGCTACTCAGGAGGCTGAGGCAGAAGAATTGCCTGAACCCAGGAGGCGGAGGTTGCGGTGAGCCGAGATCGCGCCATTGCACTCCAGCCCGGGTAGCATGAGTGAAACTCCGTCTCAAAAAAAAAAAAAAAAAAAAAAAAAAAAAAGAAAAAGTTAATATACATTTTTTCTTCTATTCTTCTTTTTACCTGATTGCTACTGTCACATTATCAGAAAGGATACACAGATTATTCTGATAATGTTTTTCTTCTTTAAAAGTTTTTAACATCTATACTACTTTCCACCTCAAAGTAATTGTCTCAACTGTGGCCATTCATGGTATACAAATCACATGTCTATTGATTCATTTTCATTGCAATGTTCCAAAAATTATTTGATATAATTGGAGCTGATATGTGAAATTGATATGATTCAAAATGCTCTGGAAAAGTAGAAAAGAGAAACTAAAACAGAAGTAGCAATCAAAGCCTAGGTCTTAGCCCTAAAATATCTGAAAGTCCCTGCAGTGAAGGACGTCTAAACAATACAGCATAATACAATGAAACACACATACACACAGAGAATTAGGAAGGATTAGGGGAGACTCTGACACTACTTCCCAGAATGCTTCTTTGGCTCAACTTAATCTCCTGCAGAATTAAATCTATACAAATGCAGGTTGGTCTATTTGCAGGGAATGTTTCTTGTCTGTAGAACCTATAGCTATAGGGTCATAAACCTACTCATGAATGCTTCTGGAGCCTTTCACCTCAGGACACACGAATCCCTGACATGTCCCACCCTCAGGGATATAGCAGTCCTCATCTTGACACTATCCACGAAGAATCACTTTGCATTCTAATATCTATCTTAGACATGTATCATCTGAAGTCCCCAAAGAGCTACAGGCCTTCATTTTGAGACTGGAATACATTACAGTACAGTCTCTCTCTCACCGCCACGAACAATCTGTTTGTTTTACATTCAGTCCATACAACGTTACCTTCAGTACAGCAGATTCACAGACATGGAAACCTAGGTTTAGAATATCACCATGATTGGGATCTTTTGTGGTGAGTGTTGCTGCTCTATGACATTAGATGTTCCATTCTACAACACCCTCTTCTTATCTGTGACAACTAGCAGTATATATAAAAGACCATTATGGCATGAAAGAATGGGCATATATTCAAGAAGTTGACAGGCATTGCCATCTTCTGCTTCTACGATCCAGAGAAGATTGCAATCAAATCAGTATCTTTGCCCCCACAACCCAAAACAGCTTTCCTGCAGCTTCTTCTTGAGGGAGTGAAAGCTGCTTAGAGCAGCGTGTAAATTCATGGCAAGAAGCAATAAAGGTGAGTTTTATACATTCCCATTACTGCTTCTACGTCTTTGCAATAATGTTTATTGACATGTTTGAACGGAGCACAAGCTGCAGTTCGGTTCAACTGCCTGTGAAAATGGGACATTTGTCAAGAAACAAACCTCGCAGTTTTTAGTGGCTCTGACAGTGGGTATTAGAAAGGATATTGATGGTGAAAAAAGAGAGAATAGGCAGGCCTATGGAGAGAGTGTTAAGGAATATACTCGGCACAGATGTCTACAGTGGAGGAAAAGGGGGTAGCTGAGGATGTAAAAGTGAACACTGACCACATTGAGTGATTGCCAGTTGCCTTGAAGCATGTGTGCTTATGTAGGGAACATCAACAAAAGCTCCATTTGTCTCCCAAAGAAGGCCTCTACAGTGATGCCTTCACTTGGGATTTGATTCCCACTTTGCTTCTTTCCACTGCGACAGTCTATCTGCAATGATAACCCAGTTCATAGAGTGTGTGTATCACTCTGTTCTTTACGGTTCTCACAAACTAAAAAGTGAAGACAACATCTACTTAGCGTATCACCTGCTTTTAGTTATTAAATCACATAGTCTTTCCTAGGGAACACACTTATTGGGGGTGTAAGGTATTGTGTTAGATGCAAGGGTTGCACATAGACCATTCCTACAAGGAATCTGCAGTTTAGTAGCAGCGTATGCTACATTCATTAATAAAACAGAGCAGCACACACATGCTGAGGAACAAGAATCTTCCACAGTGTTGGAGTTTTTTTTTTTTTTCCCCTCTCACTGGTAACCTAAACGACCAGTAAAATGTTGGGGCCTAAGTAGGCCTTTAACAGATACATACTCATATCCCACATGCAAATGTATTTCAAGTGTTCAAGGTGATAAAACGAAAGCTACTAACAGCTCTTCTCTGCTGCTTGTTCAGATCGGCCCTTCCAAATCTCAGCCATTCAAGCAATTGCATCAGGGCCCTCTCTGCAGCAAAACTGCTGCATTTCCAACACAGTTTTCTAAGCCTACAGAGCCTGAGCCTGGCGAACCAAATCAGCACCCCGTTTCTCCTAAAGCTCGGAAACAGGTAAGACTGTTTTAACCAACAAGTTTAGTTCAGGGGAGAGTTTTACTTTCTCAATATACAATATAAAAAAGAAAGGAGAGAACAAGACAAATGGCAATTAGTCATTGACAATGGAAGACATGATGCCTATGATGGCTTAGTACAGGGATAAGATCGTTTTGTCCTGGAGGTGTCATTCCTATCTATCAAAAAAGTCAGAGAGATGAGTTGTTTCACAACAAATTGACGTTGGGAGGAAACTCAGCTACAAGTTGGCATTCGTTTCTGCTATCCATGGGTTAACAAAATTCCAAAGTTAAAATTTCACTTACATTCTATAATATACCATTCCAGCTAAATTTTCATCTCTTCTCTTTCTCCTGCCTTTCTAAAAGAGTAGCTTAGCATTTCATTTCAGACTTGCAAAAGCCCTGAGATTCTTTCCTATCTTTTCCTTCCCAGAGCTCTTTGTAAGTAAATCAAACCTGCCTTCCCTATACCATACCCTGCATTTAGCAGGCAAACTCTCTCTCAGAGTGTACAAGGCGTGTAGGCTTAACAGACTGGTTTATCCTTGTGTGTGCAGAAAGGCACTTATGAAGCATACTGTTTGATGATGACATCCAAGATCGAGTTTCAACAATTTTTCATGGTCTGTAAAATGCTGCAGTGCTAATAAAATTCTAACCTAGTTTAGATTACTGCAAGAGCACGATGTCTTCTTTCTCTTTACTTAGTACCCATCCCCTCCTTATAATGGACATTATAACTTCTATCTTGCGGCCATTTACGTTTTGACTGTGGCTCAGAAAATAAAAATAACTTTTTATTAATATATAGATAGTCTCAACTAATGCTTACTTTGGAAGGCATGTATATTGAGGTGTGTGTGCATGTGTGTGTGTATATGTGTGTTGGTAAGAATGAGAGAAAGAGAACAAAAGGCAGCAAGTGAGTATGTATGCCTGTGAGTTTGTGAGAGAGAAAAAGAGAAAAAAGAAAGAACAAACAAAAGAAAACCGGGCGAGGGAAGAGAAAAAAGGGGAATGGAGAGAGAGAAGGAGAATGAACATGTTGATCAGAAATTACCCGGCTCAGAAAAAGTAATTTACTGATAAATGATTATCCATTTAGAGGTAACCAGTGTCAGCAAAAGCAGCCTTAAATTAATCTATCTGCCGATCCTTTCAGATCTCTTACACAGGATAGTAGAAGGCAAGTCGGCCCAGGCATGTCACAGAGTCTCTCATAAACAGTAATAAATTGCCATAGATTTCATTTCACATTTCAGCAATTCTGGCCTTAATGTGATGAGCAGAAAAGGGTGGCAGTTGAGTACCAACATTGAAAACGAACATTGAGATAGAAAAGTACCTGCCCTCACTCTGCAGGGATGCCTTTCAGTCACTGTCTGCATAGCTAAACCACTCTTTCTTAGATTGTTTTGTGGGATACACAATAACATATCATTCATCCATGAAGTATTTATTGAATGTCTGTCCCTTGTTAGGTCCTATACAATAGTCAGTAGGCAATATAAAAAATGAGTATAACTAGGAAATGACCTGTCCTCAAAAAATTCACACTTTCATTAAGAAACAATGGTTCAGGTTCTTGGAGAGGGCTTATAAAGTCTTGGGCTGAGTTTTAAAAATCCCAGTGACCTAAAATTCAAAAATTCAGACAACAAAGATTCATAGGGGCAAAATTCATCAGTGATGACTACACTAGACTAGGAATCAGAAGTTATGGTTTTACTGGTCACTGGAAGAGATCTTTTGGGCAAGTCACCTAACTGAGGAAATAGTTACCTAGAAAGTTGTTGAAAACGACAAAATGAAATTTTATGTATGAATGCACACGGCAAAAAGTAAAGAATGTTACATAAATACAAATCTGCAAGTCAATAACTTGCCTATCATGTGCCAGGGGCTCTACAAATGCAGCGGCTCTCAAAGTGCTTAAGATATAATGGGCATGTGAGAGAACTACATTCTTTCAGGAAACATTTTGGTCACTGCTAGACTCAAAGCAAGTGCAAAGTGCTTTAGAAACGCAGAGAAGAATATAGTTTTTGATGCAAGGCAGTATTATTACTGTGGCTCACTGACACATCATCAACACGTGGATCTCCTTCAGAAATTTGTGAAACCACTTTCACCTCAACACTGAAAACTTGTTTGCCTCTTGGCTTCCTTAATGAAAATAATGCAGCACCTGACATTAATAATAAAAATAAACACTACAGTAATTTTAATATCTGGGGCTATGACATATTTCAACATGTTATTACTCTAAGAACTTGGTGTAAGCATGTAATTATTATTTGGCACTTACATGAACTCTCCTTTAGGAAACTGCTTTTAAAATGTAGACTAATATTGCTCATTGGTTAGGTGGATCAAAGAGAGATGGAAAAGCATTAACTCACTCACTTGATTTAAATATAAATACGATGAATATCCATATTATCATACTGTGCATAATATGTTAATATTATTATTCTTTATTAGTAAATTTGCTTAAGTTTGAAAATACCTTAATATTTTTCATTATTCGTTGATTGCATGACCTTATTGATTTGATTCCTGAAGAAGCAACACGTTATTATTTCCACGTTTCAAGACCAGGAAACTGAAGTTTGGGAGTAATCAATTTGGAAACAGTTCCAGAATCCAACGCCTAGGACTCATGTGGCTGGTATTTGCCCTGAGTGCCATGGCTGAAGTAAAGCTATAATTTTAAAGCTCCTAGAACAGTATTTAAAATGTCTTTGATAGTTACTATGAGTGACTGAAGTTAAAAGATTTGGTTCTTGCAATGACTTTTTTTAGTGAAGGCACTACTACTTTATACAATTGTTGTCATTAGAAAAAGTCTGAAAAATTTTCAATAGACTGGGAACAAAATCTAAAGAATACCAAATTAATATACAATTAAAATTTAATTGTCTATAAGTTAATAAAATTAATCATATCTAAAACACAATTAAATTTTAAACACAAGCATAAAATAACCTAGATTTAGAATATATATGTATTATTTTGTTGGGGGTGGCACAAGAAGTTATCTTTATCATATCAAATAATTAGCGTTTCCATTATAAAACTAAAATTCAGAAAATATTATAAAAAAGTTACTTACAAAGTGCCAAACTACGGTGATATTTGCAACCATTTACGTGATTCAAAATACATTAGAATTTTCCTCTGGATATTTTGAATTTTGTGTATATGTATGTGTGTGTGTGTGTGTGTGTGTGTGTGTATATATATATATATATATATCTCCAATGTCTAGCACATACTGCCTTTAGTACCTACATACACAGGAAACAACTCTCATCCATATGCTTTACTATTCTACACATAATCAGACAAGAGCTACACTTATAGTGGGGCAAGCGGGATAAAAAGAGTGCTTGGTGAAAAGTTAAGAGGGGGAACGTTCTCTGGCAGACTAAAGAGCACAACACATGCTACATATCCATAGCCCCTGTGTCATCTGCCTATTCTATACCTTAAGCAGTCAGGAGGCTTGCCTGTAAGTATGTAATTTTGGTTATTATTAGCCACTTACATGGGATATGCCTTTACAGAACAACAAAGGACTTTTGAAGTATTGATCGAAACTTAAACTTCTTACAATTTCACACTAAGAACAAATGTGACTTTCTATACCATGGTTGACTCTTAGTAGTCTTCAAATACATTTTAAATATATTTTAAATATACAGCATTTACATGACTTAAGTTCTGGTCCCATCCTTCCTCTTCAGCTCAAGCCCTGCCACTCACCAATAAACTTGATGATTCCTGGAGCATATACTCACACCTGCATTGCCTGACCACTCATGGCACTAAATGAAGCCTTACATGGTAGAAAAAGTCTAAACAGAAAAAGCTTGGTATGTTTTCAGGCTGTTCACTTTTATCTAGTTACTAAGTTAACCAAAAGAAAGAATGATCTAAAAATAATTACCTTTTTCTTCTGTTTTTGAGTACATATAGTTGGGACTCAAAAAAATGGAATTGAATGTATTGATTAAAATGATTTTGGGGATGATCAATTATAAGCCCCTTACACTTACACCAGAAGATCCCAGATATATTTGCAACCTGTATAAACACATCTTTAAGTTAAGCCTCAAGCTCTCTTGGAGGAGGCCTGAGAAATGCTGAAAAGGGCTAAAAGAAGTGAGATCTACTACACTTACTTTTCCAAGATAATCACAACCAACAGTCACTGACAAAGATGCATTGCTGCTCCTGGAAATATCACCTGGTGGTTAAGGAAAAAGCCAGGCACTTCATTCTACTCCATCATTTGGTTTACAGAGTTTGGATTTGTAGCCACAGCTTTATCCTTTGCCAAAGACTCCATGCTGCACGCTGTCATTCACACTGCCAGACTGCAACCTCTGCCAGGATTTATGGCTACCATGCTGCTCCCTCACTGCTAAGAGCAGATGGCTAGGCTGAGGGACAGCAGACTGCCTAAGGGCAGAGACAAGGGTGTGGGGAGGAGAGAATGTGGTAGCCACAGGGACATTCTTCATTCCCTAGTAAGCCTGGGAAAGTTGACTTCCATGAAGTCTGTCTCTCCTTTTCTTAAAGGATTGTATTAGGTAAACTAAGATTAATAGCAAGCATCAGGAAGTTTGGGGCACACTTAAAATTGATTGCAAAATGTTTGTTAATATTTACAGATTCGTCTTTTTGGAGGAGATCTAGCTTTGTAGATCTCATAAGATAGTCTTGACCTTCTTCCACCTATCTTAAAGTATGGCATGTCTCTGTATATTACTATATGATATGGACAAGTCTGTTGAAACATTTTTAAGTCTATACTAAACAGAGTCTATCCTCTCAATTGTTAGGATAGACTCTGTTTAGGATAGACTTAAAAAAAAAAACAATGGTTTTTGCTTTTTGACGCTCAAATTGTTAGTCTATTCTAACAATTGAGAGTATAGACTCTGTTTAGGATAGACTTAAAAATTGGTTTTTGATTCAAGAACAAGTGACAGTAAAATTTGAATCAAAGACCTTACAATGAAAAATTCTATAACAGATTTAATATAAATTCCAATAAGAAACCTTACAGGCAATATCCAGACTGGATACTTCAGGTGGTGTCACCTTTGTATAGCAAAAGGTAGTGAGGGATCTTCATAGCAGTGGGGAAAAAGAAAAAAGAAGGCTGCTAACATCTATTCCCACCACTTCTTAGTCCATAACTGAGCAGAAAGTATACTGAGGGAAGAGGGATGAAATAAAAAGGAGATTTCAAAGAGAAGGTGTGAGTCAGGTTCAAGCAAATTAAAGCCCTAGTGCATCCTTATTCACGTGCTACCTCTTCTGGCTAGCTTTCTCTGACTTCCACATCCACAGATATGTGGCACACCTTCCTTGCTACTGCCATGACGCTCAAATCCCACCCAGTACTGCATCTATCAGGCACTGTGTATCTCTCTCTTTACATGTCTATCCCTCTCTCTAGTTGTGTGCTCTCAAAATATACATATTTTGTCTTAATCATTTTTTAATTCATGGTGCTTAGTAATAATAGATTTAATACATGCCGTTAAACAAATGTGCAAAACAGGACATTTCTGACAGCTTCACTGATACTTAATGACGGGGCAGAACTAGGAGTATGACCTTGCTTGTATACAACAAACAACCACAACTGTATTCTCT